GTCCTCGAGTTCGCCTGCGTATTGTTCGTGGCTGCAAACTTACGCTTTCGTTTTCCTCCCCTTCCTCAGAGCCTCCTGAGCCTGACGTCCTCCCCACCCCTCGGTTCTCCCCTCCACTGGTTTCACGCGCCACGACACCTTCCCCCGGAGTACGGATTCCCCCCTCACACTGGAGCACACCGCTGGAGTCTCTGGAAACCCTCTCACCTCCTCCACGAAGACCAGCGTGCACCGGCACTCGCCCCTCCTGCTTCCTTGGTGTCTTCACTCCTGTCCTGCAATAAACCTTCTTATTATTGTTACCTATCTCCATCGTCGCATTTTGGGTCCACTTCTTACAAATTAGGAGCTCACTCCTAACAAACAAGTTTCCTCAATTCATTAAATATATGAAATGTGAAATTAGTGATTTCATAAGTATTCACCTACTTTAAAGAGGCTGACCTAACTCAACATAGACACAGCAAATTGATGCTAGAAGTCCTACAATTAATAAAATAAAGATTATTTGAATGTAATGAATGGGTCTCATTGATTGTAGAATAAAGACACTGTGTCTGGAAGGTCCTGTCACTGGTATATCCATCCATCCATCCATCCATCCATCCATCCATTATCTCTACCATTTTCTGGTGCAAATAGTAGACCTATTAGTCTGTTACCAGCCTTAGAAAAGATTATGGAGAGAATTATTTTTGATCAAATACAAACGTATTTTAAAGGAAACCATCTAAATTCAGATTATCAACATGCTTACAGGCCAGGTCATTCTACTTGTACAGCACTGACACAAATGGTTGATGAATAGCAAAGTGAGCAAGATAAGAAGAATTTAGTTGGTATAGTGTTACTTGATCTCAGTTCAGCGTTTGATGTGATAGATCACTATTTGTTGTTAGATCAGTCAAAAATTATGTCTTTGCTTTAACTGCATTAAGATGGATGGAGAGTTATCTGACAAATAGGAGGCAGACAGTATTTTTTAATGGTAATTTGTCAAGTGTCAGGGAGGTTATTTTGGAGTGCTCAAGGTAGCTGTTTAGGACCATTATTGTTTTCTGTTTTTGTAAATGATCTGCCATTAGCTCCGAAAAAGGCTAAGATTGCAATGTATGCTGATGACTCAACAATATATGTGGTTGCATCATCTGTGAGAGAGCTGAATACCATTTTAGATATGGAATTGACGTCAGTGGTAGAATGGGTGACAAGTAATAAATTGGTGCTTAATGTTGGTAAAACAAAGTCAATTATAATTGGGTCTAAGTATCAGTTAAAAACCAAACCTGTGCTCAGCTTAAAGATAAACAATATACCAATTGAACAAGTACAAGAGGTAAAACTTCTGGGTATTATCCTCGATCATAAATTAACATGGTCTAAACAAATTGATTACACTGTGAGTAAGATGGGTAGGGGTGTGTCAGTTGTATGGAGAGTATTAAAAGTTGTGCCATCTGATGTCATTAAACAGGTTTTGAATGCTTTAGTTCTGTCACAGCTTGATTATTGTTTTGTGATTTGGTCTGGTGCTGCAATGAAAGAGTAAAAAAAAACTACAAGTAGCTCAAAACAAAGCAGCGCGTTGTGCTTTACAGTGTTCCTACAGAACTAGTGTATCAGATATGCATGACAGTCTGGGTTGGCTCACTATCAGGCAGAGATCCATCTATGTTTTGTTATATTTTGTCAGGAATATTCTGTTGATGCGATCCCCAAAGATATTACATGAAAGGCTATTTNAATAAAATGATGGTTCTGGAAAGTGATTTAAATACAATGCAAAAGTAAATCCAACAGAATAACAAAGTGGTTTTGGTGTTCAGAACATGCAGTAATATGAGAGGAGGAACATGTTGAGGGAGGAGCAACACTGTTAAGGAGCAGAATAGAAAAAGGACTCCCACTGTCACATACATTCAGTATGTAAACCAACATAACAGATAGTGTGTGGAAGATGCTGTCACTGCATTACTGGGTCATGTTTCCTTTGTTGGTGATCACATTAAAAGGTAGGTTAAAGCAGGAAGAAGAAATGTTTTTAAAAGATCTGTTTGCTCAACATCACTTAATTATTTAACATTTATCTCTTCATTTAGGTGTCAGCTGTCAACAACTGACTGCAGTGAAGGATGAAGAGTCCAGTTTAGAAGGCAACACTGTCACTCTGACCTACAAATATTCCCAAACTGTAAGTGCGGGTGATAATTTCTTCTGGTATCAACAACATCCAGGAAAACCTCCAGAGTTCCTCATCACTCACTATGGGTCACGAAATGAAACTCAAGCTAGACTCTCTGCTACAGTGAGTGGTGATAAAAACCAAATCACTCTGAAGATCTCCTCTGCTGCAGTGACAGACTCTGCTGTGTACTACTGTGCTGTGAGGCCCACAGTGACAGGAAACAGCAAAACTCTGTACAAAAACCTTTGGAGCAAAGACAAGAGAAAACTCCACAACATCCACTAGAGGGAGACACACTCTGTTAAAACTCCAAATTGTGAATTTTTGGATTGATGACAAAGAACAATAGAGAAACGAAGCAGTAAAGATCCACAAAACACTGTGATTGGCTGAACTGAACTGACAAAATGATGTCACGAGGTAATGGCCCCGCCCACTGAACTTCAGCTCATCCACTGACATTATTTCTTCCTCATTGTACTGCCGTGAAAGAACATTTATCATCTGCTGTGTGTCTGACTTTAATAACTCCAAAGACATGTTGCTTTACCTCTTTCTGTTTTCATCTCACTTCATAGGTGAGTTTATGAACAGCTGAGTTTCTCTTTTAACCTGCTGTGTTAATTTTCACAGTCAAAATCTCACAATATTCTCCGTTTGTCATCAAGTTGTGTACAATCTAGTTGTGATCTGAGCTACAGTTGAGCTATTTGTGTCCACAGAGTAACACTGTACAGGTGA